AAAAAAAAAAAAAGGAGAAAAGAGTGGAGACTAGATTCAGAGAAGATAGCCCTTTTATCAATATTCACCCTGTAATTGATCTTACTTACAGTTTATAATCTATGCTCTGATAACTCCATTATTAATATCTCAATTTTGTTCTCAGCTCTAAACTCCAGATTGTTACCTATGACTGCCTACTATACTTTGTTATCTAGTTAACATTTCAAATTTAGTATGTCCACCCCACACTTGTCATCCAACCCAACTTCTCTTCCTCCAGATCAGTTAATGGTAACACTGTACCTTCTGTTGATTTAGCCCCAAACCCAGAAGTCAATCTTGATTGCATTGTTGCCGTCACTCCCCACATCCATTCTCAGCAAGTCCTGTCAGAAAGACTTATCCCCCAAATCTACCTCAAATATGGGCTCTTCTCACATTTTACACTGCTGTCACCGTCATCTCCATGCCTCCACTCATGTCCCTCTAGGATCTACTCTTCATCTAGCAGCTGGAGTAATTTTTGAATACATAAGTCAGATTCAACAGTCCTTTTGAAAAATCTTCCAGTGATCTCCTATTTCAGTTAAAATAAAATCCAAACTCCTTTTCCTTGGCATAAAAGACTACATGATCTGGCTCTTCCTACCTTTTCAACATCCTCTCCATCTTTTCCTTTTTTCTTTTCTTTTTTTTTTTTTTGAGACACAGTCTTGCTCACTGCAACCTCTGCCTCCTGGGTTCAAGCGATTCTCATGCCTCAACTTCCCAAGTAGCTGTCCCACCACACCCAGATAATTTTTATATTTTTAGCAGAGATGGGGTTTTGCCATATTGGCCATGCTGGTCTTGAACTCCTGGCCTCAAGTGATCCACCCGCTTTGGCCTCCCAAAGTGCTGGGATTACAGGCATGAGCCACGGCACCTGACCTGGCATTGACCAATAACTTTTAAATGCCATTATCTCCTCTACAGCGTTTGAAGAATGTGCTCTATTTGTACTAATTAAGTGGCTGTCCCTGACTCTTTTGCCATGTGTATGTAAAGCCTCAAGGTAATCAGTAGCTGTACCCTTAAAACACTGGAATACAGATAACCATTTTCCCATCTCACATTGTATTTTCATTCAGGATTTTATATCTACTTTATTTGTTTACTCTTCGAATTAGACATGATTTTGCATAATCAATGTTTGTTTAGATTTCCCTCATATTTACTTTTCTCTCTCTCTCTTTTTTTTTTTTTTTTTTTTTTTTGCTTACAACTCCTTCTTATATCTCAGACTCTCCTCTTGGTGTTATTCGCCTTTCTATGGTATGGGTTTGTTGGAGGTTAATACTTTTATTGTTTGTTTGACCAAAATTGTTTGTCCTTGTCCGTGATAATTGTAGTGTATAAAAAAAATCCTAGGTGAATTTTGAAAGTATCATTTCACCAACCTCTGGCTTCTACTGTTGCTGTTGAGAAACCAGCTGTATCTATAAAAGAAAACCATAATTGGTTTTCTTGTTTGCAATGTTGTCCAGGCTGGTCTTGAACTCCTGGGCTCAAGTGCTCTGCCCACCTAGGGCTCCTGAAGTGCTAGGATTACAGGCATGAGCCATCAGCATACTGTATTTTAAGTGTGTGCTCTATTTGTACTAATTAAGTGGTTGTTTTGAAAACCAAAACCAGTTATGGTTTTCTTTTATAGGTACAGTCATGCATTGCTTAATGACAGGGATATGTTCTGAGAAATGTATCATTAGGTGATTTCATCACTGTGCAAACAGCACTGAGTGAATTTACACAAACCTAGATGGGATAGTCTACTACACGCCTAGGCTATATGGTACAACCTATTGCTCCTACACTACGAACCTGTACAAAATGTTATTGTACTGAGTACTGTAAGCAGCTGTAACTCAATAGTATTTGTGTATCTAAACATATCAAAACATAAGAAAGACACTTAAAATACAGTATGCTGATGGCTCATGCCTATAATCCTAGCACTTCAGGAGCCCTAGGTGGGCAGAGCACTTGAGCCCAGGAGTTCAAAACCAGCCTGGACAACATGGCAAAACCTCATCTCTACAAAAAAATACCCCCCCCCAAAAAAATTTAGCGGAGTGTGGTAATATGTGTCTGTAGCCGCAACTACTCAGGAGGCTAAGATGGGAGGATCACCTGAGCCCAGGAGATAAGAGGTTATAGTGAGCTGAGATCATGCCACTGCACTCCAGCCTGGGCAGCAGAGTGGGATTTTGTCTCAAAACAAAACAGTTTAAAAGATTGAAAAAAAAAAAAAAAAGTACACCTGTATAGGGCACTTACCATGAAAGGAGCTTACAGGAATAGAAGTTACTCAAGAGTCAGCTAGTGAGTGGTGAGTGAATGTGAAGGCCTAGGACATGGCTGCACACTACTGGAGATGTTATAAACATTTTACACTCTTCACACTCAATTTATATAAAAAAAATCTTTTTTGGCTAGGCATGGGTGGCTCATGCCTGTAATCCCAGCTTGGGAGGCTGAGGCCAGCATTTATTTTTTTTAACTGGGTGTCCTGTGTCTTTGTGAAATCTGTCAACCCTCCACTCCATCTGTTGCCATACCGCCCCTCACTCACTGTGCTCCAGCCACACAGTCCTTGCTGTTCCTCAAATGTGTCTTCCTAGTCTCAGGGCTTTATATGCTTGCTTTTCTCTTGCCTAGAACATTCTTATTCCAGATCTTCCCCAGCTGTCTCCATGTCATTCAGATCTCAGCTCAAATGTCACCCTATCCTGATTTCACTTCCCTGTCAGTCTTCATCATCATTCTTTATAAAATTTAACACTTTCTGAAACTATAATATTAATTCATTTACTTGTATATTTGTCCTGTCTCCCCTTAGAATGTAAGCTTCATGAGAGCAAAGGCCTTGTTAGTTGCTGTATCCCCAACACCTGATGCCAATGTCTAGCACTTAGTAGGCACTCAATAAATATTTGTTAGATGAATGTATGTCACCCTAAATCCTGTTCTGCAAGATTTAAAGTTAAGAAGACCGGTTAGGGCCTTCTTAACTCTTAACCTGTGAAGAAGGCGGGTAACTGGGCTTGACAACAACAAAAGTTTCGAAAAAGTCAGTATGGATCCAAAACAAAATTGCCTTGAAAAAAGGGCTAGTCTGTGTTGTGGGTGGCTGATGCTGGAAGATCCTCCAGACTGAGTCTTCCCTCACAGGGTTGTGCTCTAGTGAGCAATGACTGAATGAGGAAATGGGAGTACCCGGCTTACCTTGGCACTGAGTCATCTTATGCCACTGAGGACCTCTGGAGGGCCAGTGTTTTGGCTGCAACCCTTGTAGCAGCAAGAAACAATGAGGCAGCTAACTTCCTGCTAGTATGCAGAAGTCAGGGAGAGTGCTCCCCCATCCCACTTGCACCCCCACAAATCCAGAGGATTTAGAAACAATTCAAGATGAAAGGGAAACCTCAAAGAAGGAGCACATGTGCCTTAAGCTAGTTTTAATAAAAAATAGTAACAATGTAAGATCCAGGTTGCTAATTACACCTCCAGGTTCAAAATCAGGGAGGCTATAGATGGCGTGTTGGGAATCTGGAAATGGGCAGAAAAATAAAAAGTAATTAGGTGTTGGCGAAGAGAGAGAAAATGCTGAAACAAATGGATGGAAGCAGGTGAGGAGTAGATTTGGATTGGGCTTGTAGGCCATATTAAGAAGCTTGGACTTTATCCAGAGGGCATGAGAGCCACATGGATTCGAAGCCAAGGAGTGACTCTAGGCTCTGGATCTCATAGGGACTTGGAGAGATCCTCTGTACTCCTACGTATTAAAGGGAACAAAACTGCAGCTGAAATCAGAAGCCCTTAACAGTCTATTGAAGAAAGATGATCAAAGTCTGAATAATAATGATCATTTTAATCATAGCAGATGAATTAAACCAGGCACTTCCTAAGCCCATTACATACTTAATCTTGTTTATGCAACTGCAACCCTACCAAAGTGGCACTAGTATTAACGTCTCCAAAAAGGTAAAGAAGTTGTGAGGGTAAGTAATTTGCCCAAGATCTCTCTGAACTCAGGTTTCTCCGACTGCACTGCTCTCTTCATTCCCTTGGACTAAGGCATCTGGACTGGGGAGGAAAAGGAGGCAGATGTGAAAAACATTTAGGAGATAAGTAATAGTTATTATATTAGCACTAGATAATGATGATGGTGATGATGACGACAATGATGACAGTAAAGGCGATTTCATGCCTTTACACATCCAATAACACTAGATTCAGTGTCAAAGACGAGATAAAATTGATTAAGGTATTGGCGTCAAGCTAACAGTTTAATACGATATAAAACTTCCCAAAGTGCAGGGTCACAACGCCTCTCCTGTCCATTGCCCCCAATTCGCCGAAAAGGTCGCTCCTGCCTGGGCTCCCGGGCGGTGCCATCCGCCGGGCGCCACCGTCCCTTCCCCGATGCTGCGCCCCGCCCCGCCCCGCCCCGCCCCGGCCCTGTCCTGAGGCCCGGGCCTGCTACCTCGCCCCGCCCCGCCCGCCGACCCCAAACTGCCGTCGCTCCCCGCCTCGCCCCTCCCCGCCCCGCCGCGGCCCCTGGCACCAGCCCGCTGTCTCGCCCCGCCCCTCCCCGCCCCGCCCCGCCCCGCCCCGCCCCGCAGCTCTGGTGTGCCCCCCCTCCAAGGGCGCCTGCGGGCCACGTGGTCCGGCGTCCGCGCGTAGGCAGCTCTCGGCGCCGGGCTTCCGGGTTGGCTTTGGCTTGGTCGGCGGCGCAGGGGCAGAAGCCCGGGCGGCGCAGAAGCACCGGAGACTGGCCGGGTGGAGCGGAGGGCCAGAGGGGCCCGGCGCGGGTCTCCCGCCAGGCCGCCAGGTGGGCTGGCGGCGACCTGGACCCCACCGGCCGCCCTGAGAGGTAGGTCGGCCGCACCGACCCCTCCGCAGCCGTTTGCTCCCGGGGCGGGCTCGCTGGGCCTGGGCCGGGAGGCTGTGGGTCTTTGCGCGCCGCCACTCCCTGCTCTGCCGACCCGGGGTTCCGGGGGCTCCGCGCCGGCCCACGTCTGGCTGGTGGCCGCACGCGGCTTACGTTATTGCTGTTTTATTGCCGCTACCTCACATTCGCTTTGTACATACACGTTTCTTCACTCTTTTCACATTGGTTCCCTCACACGAAATGGCTAATAATCTGGAAGATGGAGGCAGCTTCGTTCTCCTTGAGATAGTTGTGCAGTCATAGAAAGTTCGTGCTGCGGAGGACTTTGGAGATGGTTGATCCCATTCCTTCATTGTAGAGAAGGCACACGCTGAACTGTTTCATGAGTATTGGAGAGTCACCCAGCTAGGTAATGTGCGGCAGGAATAAGAACGCAGAGCTAAGTTTTTTTGTTTTTATTTTTTGAGGTGGGCGTCTCGTTCTGTCGCCGAGGCTGGAGTGCAAGGCGTGATCACGGCTCACTGCAGCCTTGAACTTCCGGGCCTAGGTGATGATCCTGCCTCAGCCTCCCCAGTAGCTGGGACCACAGGCAGGCGCCACCATGCCCGGCTAATTTTTATATTTTTTGTATAGATGGATTCACGCCATGTTGCCCATGCTGGTCTCAAGCGATCCACCCGCCTTGGCCTCCCAAAGTGCTGGGATTATAGGTGTGAGCCACTGCGTCCGGGCCCAGAGCTAAATTTTTAGACAGGCAATTAACTAAAAATGGTAATGGTAAAATTCAGTTAATGATGTGAATAGGAAGCTATGTGGGCTGGTATTAACCTTTTAGACAGTGCTTCCTCCTTTTTAAACCTTGTTTTCTCGTTTCAGATTTAAGCCTTCGTGGCTTCTGAAGAAAATGGCAGAAACATCGCCAGATCCTTCTGGGCAGCTTGTCGTACACTCGGTCACTCACAGTGACACTGTCCTGGCCAGTTTTGCGGATCAGAGGAAGAAAGGCTTTCTCTGTGACATTACTTTAATTGTGGAGAACGTACATTTCCGGGCCCACAAAGCCTTACTTGCTGCCAGTAGTGAATACTTCTCAATGATGTTTGCAGAAGAGGGTGAGATTGGCCAATCCATTTATATGCTGGAAGGCATGGTTGCAGACACCTTTGGCATCCTGCTCGAATTTATCTACACAGGTTATCTCCATGCCAGTGACAAAAGTACAGAACAAATCCTGGCTACTGCTCAGTTCTTAAAAGTCTATGACCTGGTAAAGGCTTACACAGACTTGCAAAATAATCACAGCTCCCCAAAGCCAACAACTTTGAACACTGCTGGTGCTCCAGTGGTTGTTATCTCTAATAAGAAAAACGATCCTCCAAAGCGGAAAAGGGGAAGACCAAAGAAAGTCAACACACTGCAGGAGGAGAAATCAGAACTGGCTGCAGACGAAGAAATACAGCTAAGAGTGAATAATTCAGTTCAGAATAGACAAAACTTTGTGGTTAAAGGAGGCAGTGGTGTACTGAATGAGCAGATTGCAGCAAAAGAAAAGGAAGAATCGGAGCCTGCTTGTGAACCAAGTAGAGAGGAGGAAATCCCAGTTGAAAAAGATGAGAACTATGATCCCAAAACCCAGGATGGCCAGGCCAGCCAGAGTCGCTACAGCAAGCGGATGATTCGGAGATCCGTCAAACTTAAAGATTACAAACTTGTTGGGGATCAGGAGGACCATGGTTCAGCCAAGAGGATATGTGGAAGGAGAAAGCGCCCTGGAGGCCCTGAAGCTCGTTGTAAAGACTGTGGCAAGGTCTTTAAGTACAATCACTTTTTAGCAATCCACCAGAGGAGCCACACAGGTAATGGTGCTTTCAAGGCTTATTGCAGTGTGTTTCAGAATTTGGAGTAATGATGATGATAATAACTTTCATTTCCTGTGCAACTTCTATGTGATGGGCATTGTAATAAAGCCTTTATGCATGTTATTGCACTTAATTTTCTTCACAGCCCTGCAAAGTAGGTAGTATCCCCATTGTACATTGTATGATTAAATCATATTTACTAATATGTAAGAGCGGATTCCTAAAAAAGTGCATAGTTTACAGATGAAGCCGCCAAGTTCTAGGGAGCTTAAATAACTTGCCAGAGTCGCCCATTAGTGAGAGAGCTCGGATTGAACCCAGGTAGCCTGATTCAACAATGTCTCTCATTTGTAGTTGTTGATTGAATCCTTTAATGTCCACTTATCAAGATCTAGCCCAGTGTACTCTGCTTTCTGATTCTTGAACATTCTTCGTCTTGACCATAGCCATGTTTTGGCCTAAGTCTGTGTGGACCACTTTCTAACTCAGCCATTTAGCTTTAAATGCCTTCCCTTTTTTGGGCCCTTTAGCCCAGCACTAACCAATGGCACCCTTCTGTGATGATGGAAATATTCCTACATCTGCACTGTCCAATATGGTGGCTAGTAGCCACATGTGGTTTTTGAGCACTTGAATTGTGCCTAGTGTGACGGAGAAACTGAATTTTAAATTTTATTTTCATTTAAGTTTGAATAACCACATGTGACTAGTGGCTACCGTATTGGACACTGCAGCCCTAGTGAGAAATCCCTTCCTTCTTTGAGCCCTTTTGGGTGCTTAAAACTCACTCTGCTTTGGGTCAGATTGTTGTTGCCACTTGTGTATCCCTCAACTTAATTGTAAGCTTAAGTATAGGGACTGGTGCTTGAGTCTTCTGTTACCTAGGAGCATCTGGTACTGTGGGTCTCAGCCTGCAAATCAGAATCACTTGGGGAGCTTCTAAAACTACCAGTGCCTGGACCTCAACCCCAAAGCTTCTGATTTAATTGTCTGGAGACTTGGTGCTTTTAAAAGCTCCCCAAAGACTTGAGATACAGATAGGTTGAAGACCTTGAATTCCGGTACTTTGAACAAAGTAGATACTTGAGAAATATTTGTTGAACTGTAATAGGTTATATTTTTGCTGGTTTTTTTTGAGACGGAGTCTTGCTCTGTTGCCCAGGCTGCAGTGCAGTGGCGTGATCTTGACTCACTGCAACCTCTGCCTCCTGGGTTCAAGCGATTCTCCTGCCTTCAGCCTCCTGAGTAGCTGGGATTACAGACATGCGCCACCATACCTGGCTAATGTTTTGTATTTTTAGTAGACACTGTGTTTCACCATGTTTATCAGGCTGGTCTCGAACTCCTGGCCTTGTGATCCACCCACCTCGGCCTCCCAAAGTGCTGGGATTACAGGTGTGGGCCACTGTGCCCAGCTGGCTATTTTTATCTAAGATTAATATGTGCATAGTTTAGAGAGTTAAATCTTTATACAAGACTTAAGAAAAAGCATGTAGGATCTTCCCTTTTGTCCCCGGTCCAGTTCCCGACTTACAGTGGTTCAATTTTTCAACTTTACAGTAGTGTGAAAGCAGTACACATTGAGCAGAAACCGTACTTTGAGTTTTGATCTTTTCCCGGGCTAGTGATATTCAGTATCAGCCTCTTAGGCCATGCTGGGCCACACAATCACTTGGGTAAATGACCAGTACTCTCTACCAAGTGCATTTTTGGCTTGTGGTATTTTCAATATCATTGGTTTCTTGGAACTCAGTCCCCTCATAAGTCAGGGAGCACCTGTATTCTAAATTTTGCAGCCCACCACTTTAGTATGGGTCTGTTTTCTTTGATCTGGGTAGATATCAGGTAGATTCATGAGGTGTGGAAACTATCTTTCAGTCCTAGAAAATCTTGAATTATTTCATAGATGATTTCCTCCCCTCTCTTTTCTCTGTTCGCACTAACTTTATTTTCTCTTACATTTCCATCATTTTTTGCCCTACTTTCTGGGGGATTTCCACGTTGTTTTTCAGCCTTTATAGGGTTTCTATTTCAACTCTTATTTTTTCCCCCTTTAGGAGCTCTGTTTTCTGAATTTGAATTATCTTTTATTTCACAATGTAATATCTTACCTCTGTGAGCATGTTAATGATAACATTAACGTTTCCTCACTGGAGCAAGTTGCTTTTTTTTCTTCCTGCTTATCTGTCACCACTACAAAAGGCTTCCCTTGAGTGCCTGGCGATTTTTTAAAAATCATATTTAATCATATGTAAGAGTGGGTTGCTAAACGTGACTAGCAGTGCTGCGTGCAAGGAGAGAGCCTGTATTTATTTATTTATCTATTTTTGAGACGGAGTCTTGCGCTGTTGCCCAGGCTGGAGTACGATAGTGTGTGATCTCTGATCACTGCAACCTCTGCCCGCTGGGTTCAAGTGATTCTCCTGCCTCAGCCTCTCGAGTAGCTGGAATTATAGGCACCTGCCAGCATGCCCAACTAATGTTTTGTGTGAGAGAGCCTGTAAAACCTTGTTCCCAGACCAAACTGAGGGTCCGGCGTCTGTTTCTCATGGCCCACTAATGAGATGCAGATGAACCGGGGAGGAAGAGAGTTTTTATTTCTGTAACCAGAAATAAAACTTCTCAGGGAGAAGTCCTGAAAATTATTGCCAGACCAACTCAAGATTTAAAAAGCTTTTCAGAGCTTATATCCCTCCTAAGTTATATGTCTGTGTGTAAGTGTGCATTCATCTAAGACGTAGGTGATCAACTTCTTTTAATCTGTAACTAAGATCTGAGCCCTGAAGATCTTCTTCTGGAGTCTTAGTAAGTTTATTTAATCTAAATGAGTCTAGGTGCTGGGGTAATTACCCTTATCTCCTGCTAAACCATGGAGGTTTGGGGAGTTCCTTCAGATCCCCAATAAAACTTGTTTGATCCTAAATGGGTCCTGTTAAGAATTCCTTCATTATTTTGTCATGCTTTAAGGCCCAGAAGAAGCTTAGGCAAAACTCTTGGTGGACTTTTGTTACATTCCAGCCTTTGTACAAGCGCACTGGCTTTTAATATTTAACTTACCCACTCAGTACTGAAACAGTTGTTTAGAGGCCTGCCATAACCTCTCTAGAGGTGTTGCGGCTGGGCCCGTATCCTTGCTGGTGCCTGGATTCCACATCTTTGCCCTCTCATCTTGTACCTAACATGTTCCAGTGGAAGACGCTTTTTCTCTCCCACTTGGAGGCACTAAGCCTGGCTGCTAACCCATGTCTAGGGCAGGAGGGGGAAGAAGGAGTTGGGGAGTCTCATCATCCCAGATAGAAATGTTGACTTACTCTCCCTATGGTGATCCCCGTAGGGCTGTTGGCCCCACAGGGTTGTGGGGTGTCCCTTATGCTGTGCTGAGGTGCAGGATCCGAGAAGTAAAGAGACAGGACACTGAAGAACTGGTGAAGAGCATCTGGACTCGGTGGGGCCGCGCGACCTGTGAGTGGAGACAGGCGAGGCCTCGAACACCCAGAAGCGTCTGTATTTATTAGGTACAAGCAGGGGGAAGGGTCGTGAGTGAGGACATCATGTATAGGCTTAGTGATAGGACATACATAATCACGTGAGTCACAATCGAGGGGGCCACCCCATTATGTCACCTGGGCAGAGAGGTGGGCCGTGTGCAGTAGGGGGCTATGCTGTGCGCAGTACTAGAGGGTCATGTACAGAAAAGGGGTTCACCCCTGTTAGGTCACCGAGGCAAGGAGATGGGCTGTGTGCAACAGTTGTCATGCGCATCACTTCTTATCTGGGGCTGGAAACTCCAAAGCGCTTCTAATAGAAAGACACTGTAAGCCAGTGCTGTGGGAGCTAACAGATTTGTGCTCTTAAGATATTTATGGGAGGATGATTTGAGCTAGCACAGAAGCAAGAAAAGACTGACAGGGTATACAGAGGGGTTCTTCTCCCTCGGTTATTTCCAGGATCTCAGGCCTGAAAGCCTACTTTCCACAGGAACTGGATGCAAGGTACTACAACTCCTTTATCAGGAGGAGAGGCTCTTGCCATACAGCGTATGCCCTTTCAGGCAGGGACGCCACCACCTGGATCTTTGGTTCTCGTCCTGGTCTGGCTGTTTTCCCATGTACTGCTTCTGTTCTGTGACTGCTCTAGGCATTCCTCCTACTACAAACTACTATATGGTTATATGGAAGGATTATATAAATCAGCACTAAATATGTCGGTACAGCTCCGACTACAATACCTATATGATTATATAGAAAGATTATATGGAGAAAATAGCTGAGTAATAACACTATAAGCTAAGATATTCTTCAGGCACTAATTGTGCCTGGGGTTTGCACAGCTCTCCTTCCTTGGTGCTAATGGGGGGCATTACCCCACAGATCCCAACTCAACTGTGCCTAGAAACCCCTAATCCAGAGACCTCTTTTTCTTAACCCTCCTCAGAGAACATTCTCATCCTCTTTTGGGGAGAGGGACAGTCTCCTGCCTGTGTAGAATGGAAGATTTCATCGGGGTCTAAGTACCTTTGAAACAGACTTTCATTTGTCCTCCCTCACCCCTGTTTCCAGAGAGAGCAGGTGCCACCAAATTCCTGAGCTTTTTGGAGATTGTGTCTTAAAAATTAGGTTGTATTGGGCTGGGTGTGGTGGCTCATATCTGTAATCCCAGCACTTTGGGAGGCTGAGGCAGGAAGATTGCTTGAGCCCAGGAGTTGGAGACCAGCCTGGGCAACATATTGAGATCCTGTCTCTTAAAAAATGTTTTTAATTAGCTGGGTGGGTGTGGTGGTGGCACACACCTGTAGTCCCAGCTACTCAGGAGGCTGAAGTGGGAGGATCATTTGTTCCTAGGAGGTTGAGGCTATACTGAGCTATGGCAGTGCCACTGCACTCCAGCCTGGGTGATAGAGTGAGACCCTGTTACAAAAAAAAAAAAATAGGTTGTGTCAGTGCTACCCACTGCTGGCCTCAGATTCATCTGTTGCAGCTTCCAAAATTGTATTGCTGATATCTCTTGTGTTCATTGGCCTTTTGGATGTGTGCCTTTTAAGAAAAATCCTTTACTGTTATTTTAATTTGGGAGAGACAGAAAGATGTGTGGATTCTTACTTACACCGTGCTCCTGGGGCTCTTCTTCCAGGGGAGCGACCTTTCAAATGTAATGAGTGCGGAAAATGCTTTGCCCAGAAGCACTCTCTCCAGGTCCACACCAGGATGCACACAGGCGAGCGGCCGTACACCTGCACCGTGTGCAGCAAGGGTCTGACCACCAAGCACTCACTGCTGGAGCACATGAGCCTGCACTCAGGTAGTGGGGGTTGCCCAGAGGGCCAGCTGTCGACAGATTCCCATTCCCCAGGGTGGGCATTACCAACACCTAAACGGTGTTTTCTCAGCCTGGTATCATTTCCAATGTGGTGTCATTGAAAGAGGATTTTTGCATCTGTCCAAGTTGTAGGGCACATTGGGAGCCAGATGTAGGGCTGAGTGCCCGACAGGGTTGTGAGGTGAGCGTTATGCTGTGCTGAGGCGCAGGATCCGAGAAATAAAGAGACAGGACACAGAAGTACAAAGAAAAACACAGCTGGGCTTGGGGGGCCACGCCACCTATAAGTGAAGTCAGGTGAGGCCCCGAATGTCCAGAAGCATGAGTATTTATTGTGTCTAGGTTAGGGGGCAGGGCAGTGAGTGAAATCATCTTTAAGGATAGTGATAGGGTTGTGAGCAATAAAACATAGGGTCCACCCCCATTAGGTCACCTAGGCCAGGAGGTGGACAGTGCACAGCAAGGGGCCCGTTCCCACAAAGGCAAGGGCCATGTGCAGTAAGGGGTCCACCCCCATTAGGTCACCGAGGCTTGAAGGTGGGCCGTGCGAAGTGAAGAGGGTGCAGTGTGCAATACTTCTATCTATGGGCAAACTACTTCTAAGAAGATTTATTGGAGGATGCTTTAAGTCACAGCAGTGACAGCTGTCAGGGTTACCGCCACCTTCTGGCAGCTTCCAATGGATTCTATGGGAAGATGCTTTTCAAGCAGCACAGTAGCAAGAGCTGATAAAGTTCACAGTCACCAAGGTGGATTGCTGTTCTGAGGGCAGCCTTCCACAAGAACTGGAGCAAGGTCCTACAACTCCTTTATCAGGAGGAGTGGCTCTTGCCCCAAGCCTGCCATACAGTGGGTATCTTTACGATACTGAATGCTGCCGCCTGGGCCATGGATTCTTGTCCTGGTATAACTGTTTTTCCCTTAATTCATGTCTGCACTGTGTCTGCTCTAGGCATTTCTCAGATTATAAGCTGCTTGTTCCTTAATTCATGCTCTATACTGTGTCCACTCTAGGCATTCCTCCGATTATGAACTAAGATATAATTATAGGTATATATGTAGGGAAATATTCTTTAGGCACTCATACTATCAACTATTATATGATTATATGTAGAGGGTTATATAAAGGGAGACTTCAAGCCCTATTTCTATAACTAATATATGATTATGTAAAGGATTATATAAAAGGAAATAGCTGAGTAGTAACACCATAAAGTGAGATATTCCTCAAGCCCTAACTGTGTGAGGGTTCTGCTTAGCTCTCATTCCTCGTTACCTGTATGGGGGGTACCCACACAAGTGCAGTTTAGAGTTCTGCACTGATCCTTCAGCGTATAAACTGGCTGCTGGGAGTTTGGTGTGCACACATGTTTTATTAAACCACCAAGGTTTAGAATTATTTTTACTTTGAGCACCTTTGGGGAAACTTAAATTCTCCTGTTCTGCCCCAGTCTCCACTACTCCCTGTTGCCTTACATACCTTTGCACATTGGTGTTTCTGCGGTAGACTGAAGGCTTCTGGGTGTGTAAACAAGTCACTTGTGTCTTTTGTAGAAAATGGGGACCTGGGTCCACTCTAGTATTTTCCTTATTAGTGAGCATTCTAGTTCTTTATAGTTTTTTTTGCATGTTTTAGTGTTTTGGGTTTTTCTGGCAGGACAGAAGTCTTTTACCTGTGATCAATGTGGAAAATATTTCAGCCAGAACAGACAACTAAAGAGCCATTACCGAGTTCATACAGGTACGATAAAGTGAGAATGTTTAGATTGGGGGAAAAAATGCAAATAAAAATTGTTCCTGAAACATTAGTTTCATATTGTAGGTGATAAACAGGTATTTAGGGAAAAGAGCCTTAAGAGTCTAAATTATATATTTTTATGTACTGTCTGCCACCTTGTGAATTTTATTTGTATACTACAGTTTTGGTGCCACATACAGAAACCCTACAGAATTGGCGTCTTTCAAAAGTGCCACTTGCCCAAGGGAGCTTCAATCAGTGGTTGTTAGTGGTGCCTGGGCAGAAACATCATCACCCCGTGGCTGTCAGCCCAGGCTTTCTGTCCCCTGCTTCTACCCGTTGTCCTTTTTGTTTCCTGACACCTAAGATAAGAAATGGATGTGGGTTCAGAGTGTCATTTGGGATCATTTGTGGCCTCAGTCACACCAGTACTTTGAGGAAAAAGGGAGAGACTACATTTAGAATTGGAAAGATCCTAGCTCTCTCGGAGGAGGCAGTGAGTTGAGGTGCGTAGGAAAATATTAACCGTTACCAAATTAATGACAAAATTTTTGTTGTTAAAGTGCCATATTTAAAGTGATTATTTTTCAGGGAAGTGCTTTAACACAAATCACTGAAGAAAATGCAGGGAGAGCATATATGCACTGACACTTTTTTTATTGTTGCGACAAGGCCACTCATTACCAGAATGCAAAGACTGCCATCGCAAATTCATGGATGTGTCTCAGCTAAAGAAACACCTGCGAACACACACAGGTAAAACTCCACCTTGTCTGTCTGCCCGGTACCTGGGGTGTTTTCAGGAGAGTGAAGAATGAATTTCTCAGAGTCCCTTGCTCAGCCTGTGTTTGGAAATGTTTATTGTAAACTGGATGGGAGTTGTGTTAGAAGATAATTTAAAAGCTGAAGGCAGAATGTCGTCAGCACTGTCTTTGGGGAAATCACATCTCTTATAGATGAGCAAAATGGAGATCACTTACTGAGCACTATTCATATGTCACAGTTCATTTAATACCACAGCATAGTGAGTCTGAGTCTGGTTCTGTGTTTCACTCTTAATTTACGTCAGCATTGAAGATATCAAGACTTTTTTTTTTTTGAGATAAGGCTCACTCTGTCATCCAGGCCAGAGTGCAGTGGCATGATCACGGCTCATCACAGTCTTGACCTTCTGGGCCAGAGTGGTCCTCCCACCTCAGCCTCCCAAGTAGCTAGGACCACAGGTGCATACCACCACACCTACCTAATTTTTATTTTTTCAATTTTTTGTAGAGGTGGGTTCCACTATGTTGCCCAGGCTGGTCTTGAACTCCTGGGCTCAAGCAGTCCTCCTGTCAGAGCCTCTCAACGCGTGAGATGACAGGCATGAGCCACCTTGCCCAGCAAGATAATTTTTTTCAGAAAAGACAGCAAAGAGTGACAGACACAAATGTAGTGTAGACACTGAGAATTTCTCCACTTTCTCCCCTAGAACCAACTCTTAAGCAGCACCACCTCCAGAAAAATCAGTTTCAGAGATGACAAGGAGGCAGGATTGATTAGGGCAGGTCACATTTTTTTATGTAAGATCAGAAAAGTGGATCTTTTATACCTTTTGGTAAAGAACATGTGTTAAAAATAAGCCTCTTAGATTTTCTAAGAAAAACTTGCCATTGCAGGTGTTTAATGATTCTATTGTCTACTGGAAATATGTAAATAGCAAATTGATTTATGGTGCTCTGGACTTTTGTTTTTTTTGTTGGGGGGGCGGTCACTGTCTCACTCTGTTGCCCAGGCAGGAGTGCAGTGGTGCCATCTCAGCTCACTGCAGCCTCCACCTGCCAGGTTCAAGCGATTCTTTTGCCTCAGCTTCCCTAGTAGCTGGTACTACAGATGTGTGTCACCATGCCCGGATAGTTTTGTATTTTTTATAGAGACAGGGTTTCACCATGTTAGCCAGTCCGCTCTTGTTCAAACTCCTGGCCTCAAGTGTGAGCCACCATGCCTGGCCTGGACATTATTTTTCAAATACAGGTTTTTCTTCTTAAATTTAGTAAACATCTCATAGGGTATGGATTTTAACACGTGTGCTGAGCACTTACTGGGAACCAGGCAGTTTTAGGCTTTGAGGATTTAGCAGTGAATGAGATGGGAACAGGCCCCTGCCTTAAGGGGCCAACATTCCACAGGAAAGGCAGAGAACAGACAAGTATAACACGTTAGGTGGTGTGAACACATTGAGGAATAAAATGCAGGGTAAGGGGGCAGGAAGGGGAGCTTTTTTTTTTTGGAGAAGGAGTTTCACTCTTGTTGCCTAGGCTGGATTGCTATGGCACAATTTTGGCTCACTGCAGCCTCTGTCTCTCCGGTTCAAGTGATTCTCCTGCTTCAGCCTCCCGAGTAGCTGGGACTGTACAGGCGTGTGCCACCATGCCTCACTAATTTTGTATTTTTAGTAGAGATGGGATTTTGCCGTGTTGGCCAGGCTGGTCTTGAAGTCCTGACCTCAGATGATCCACCTGCTTCAGCCTCCCAAAGTGCTGGGATTACAGGTGTGAGCCGCTGTGCCCAGCCAGGAGCTGCTCTTTTATGTATGGACTGGTCTGAGAAGGTCTCACAGATGAGGTGGCATCTTGGATGGAGATGAGAATGCAGTGGGGGAGCCAGCCAGCCATTGAGGATGTCCAGGAGAGAGCATTCTAGGAAAGGGGAGCCCTGGGCACACGGCCCTGAGACAGGAATGTTTTTGACATGCTGGAGACATGCTGGGAGGAGCAGAGCCAGAGAGCTGGGAGTAGGAGGTTGTGGTGTAGGTGGATGTTCTCAGTTTAGCTTCATGCTTTTACCACCTGGGAAGCTTTAAACAAAAAAACCTGGTCCCAACCTCCAAGATTCCGATTGACTTGACCTGGGTGGAGCCTGGGAATTGGTGTTTTTAAAGTACTCTTCAAGAATTGTAGGGCGCACTTGGGCTAAAGTACTTTGAAGGCCACAGTAAAGACTTTGGATTTTATTCTCTGGGAGGTGGCTTTACTGAGATAAGTGACAAGGCGTGACTTGGGGTTGTAATAGGATCAGTCCAGCTGTCCTGTGAGGTCAGGGGAGGCCAGGGTGGAGGCAGAGAGGCCCACTAGGAGGCTGTGCAGTAGTCGGGCTCGGAACAGCAGAGGTGGTGTCAGGTGGTCCAGTTCTGGATATATTCCAAGGAAGAATCCATATGATTTGCTCATGATTGGATATGGGAGGTGAAAGAGGAGGCAAAAGCCACTGGAAGAAGGAAAAACTGGGGAAGACTAGGAAGAACAGATGAGAAGTTAGATTGTGGACTGGTTGGTGTCTATTTGACATCTAGGTGCAGGTGTGGGGTAGAACATTGGATATTCAGGCCTGGAGTTCAGGGGAGAGATGCAGGCAGAGCTCTGGATTTCCACACATACACATGTGTCTGCACATAGCTATGTGACGCTGTGCTGAGCTCCCCAGGGAGACGAGGATGGTGGAGGAGATGTGAAGGAGAGTGGAGCTGGTTTGGTCACACTGAGCAGTGCCAGAGGAGACACTTCCCCTTGGTTTTGTTGTCTGAGTATAAGGGGGAATGAGGTTTCTGGTCTTTGTGAGTAGCAGTAGGACTTGAAGTGGGGATGAAAAGGAACAGGAGACCTCCCCCCTGTAATTCCAGCAAACCCTTTTCAGCCTGTGTACTCTGACAAGCAGAAGAGAAAGTGGAAGATGTGTGATGGGTTAAAAAGGAGACAGAAGGGCCTCTGTAAAGTGGTTTGCATGACTTAGAAGTATGAAAAGAAATTGAACCCATCAAAAAATTGGGGCTTTCGAAGAGCAGCAACTATGACCCATCTGTCCCTAGCATCAGCACAGAGAATCTGCTTTAATGTTGGTGAATGGCATTGGCATGCCAGTTCCCTGCTCCCTGGGCATTGAGCATAGCCAGGGTGAGAAGCGCCAGTCCTGCCCTCAAGGCCATGCTCAGCTAGAAACCAAGACTTCATCTTTTAGAGGTGATCCGTCATTCATCTCTTAGATCTTCAGGCACAAACTCTCTCTGGGTTAGATGTTCTGCACCAAGCACTGGAGAAGTCAAAGGCAGATTAGAGATGTTCTTCTAGGAGAGCATCCCCAGTGCGGGAGACGGACACACTTTGAGATGGAGGCAAAGTACCAGGCAAACAAGCAGCACCTGCCAGTTCACCACGTCTCAGGCTCTCCTGCTCACATCTTGTCCCCATACCTGGTGCAGGTCAGGTTTACAGGGACCCAGTCAGGCCAAGCAGGTTCACAGGAGTGATAAACCAGAGACTTATCAACTCAACAAAGGGATTACACCTTTCTGTTGCTGACAGCACCTCCTCCGTCACATTAGTATACCCGAAAGCCAAGTTAGTGATCAGAAGATTGCATGGTGAGCTGGGAGCAAGTCAAGGGAATCAGCCCAGGCCACAGAGAAGCCTGGTGAGCGACCTCTGACCCCACTCCAGTCCCACCCCACCAGTGTCCCTGTTCCTGGATGGTGCTCGGTGAACACCGATTCTGCCCTGTGGGCTTCACATGTAGATGGCTCTGACTGGGAACAAATGATAAAGCTCAGTAAGTCAGTTCTATTCACAGCCTCATTGTGGCTTGAAGTTGAAGCTTCCCAAATCTCAACTGTGTGTTGAGATCATTAATGTTGAGACTTGGGGTCTTCCCACCTTCTGAGACCTGAGGGCCCCTCACCATCACATGCCCTTACAAAGTTTATGTGCCCTCTATTATGAAACAGTATGGTGTGGTCAGAGCCACAGCAGAGGTGTGAGCACAGGATGGGAAACGACTGAGAAGACCACATGGGAATGCCAAATACACAAGTGTCAAACCATGCTCTTCACAGTTACCATTGGCGTGTGTCCCTTTTCTGCCAAGATTGGCAAATACATGAGGAAATGCACATCTTTATGTATTGTTGGTGGGACTATAATTTGGGAACCTTCTGGAAGGAACTTTTCCAATACTTACCCAAATGTAAACCATGCAGTTGTGTAAAGATGTTTGCCTAAGGATATTCATCACAGGCAACGTTGTTTATAACTCCACAAGCTTAACAGCCACCTGAATGTCCCAGGAAGGGATCAGGTAGGTATATTTGAGGCAGTAGACACAATGGTACACAGCACAGGCTCTTAACATGGTGGTGTGGCTTTACTGATGTGACAAACAGTGTGCACTGGATGCCCTCACAGAGTAAGACTGCAGACAAACAGATTTGTCTGTAAAGATGCTCGCCATTGTTAACCAGTTATCTTAAGAGAGGAGAATGGTGGAGCGGATTTTATATCTTTGTATTTTCAATATTTGATTCCTTTGCAATGAACACGGTTAATTTTTTAAGAGAAACAAAGCTGTGGTCCACAGTGGGAGGCAGGATGCTGAGGGGTCTAGACGGACAGAACTGGGCTGCCAGGTGAATGTGACAGCTGATGGAACGAGAGATGTCACTGTGACTGTTGTGCCTGGCTGGGCAGGCGCTGGGTGATGATGTCATCAATCCAAGAAAGTTATTCTGGGTTTCAGCAGATGGACATGGGAAATCCAGCTTTGATGTTAAGAAGCAGTGAGTCATCAATAGTATCTGGAGTGGGGTCCAGGATTTAAGTCACTGGAGAAGGGGAAGGGTGGGATCGTGGAGGAGACTGCTGAGAGGAGGGTCTGGAAGGAAGCATACCCTGGAGCTGCTTCAGTGCTTCTGTTGATGTTGCCCTGGGCAGGACCTCTCATCACACTCCTGTCTCTTGCCTTTTCCTTTAATCACCTTTGTCTAATCCTCTTGTAACACACTTGTTTCTGGTCCCCATGCCTCTCAGGCCCTGTCCTCTTACCTTATGCTTCTCCATCTGCCTCCTGCCACCTCCTGGTCCAGGCCTTGTGCATAGCCTGTTAGAGGTCCTCTGGCCTCCAGCCTACCCTCCTCACCATTCCCAGGTGTATTTTCAGCATGTCCTTCTGCTAAAAACTTCCAGAGGGTCTACGGGTCCCCTGCCTGGATTTCATAGTTCCTGGTGGCTTGGCCTGCTGGCTCCTGAGAGTGATCCTTGTCACTCCTAGCGCACACCATGTCCATTTCTGACACCAGCTTCTGCTCTTACTGTTGAGACCAGCACCCTGGTCCAGGCTTCTCTCCAGCCTAGCCAGATCCTGCCCCACCCATATCCAGCACTCTGTCTGTACTCAGTATTGTTGACGCCACTCATTTTAATGTTCAGTGAAACACAGTCCTATGTTACTTAATTGCTTTGTGCATCTCCTCAAGTAGACTGTGCATTATTCAAGGCAGTCATCCCATCTTTTAAAGTTTCTTTTCTGTTTCTTAGCTGTGTACTTAGTTGATGGTCTATCAGTGTTTGAGAACTAAATAGACTTAAGGAATGGGTGTCTCAGTTGAAGGTGGTAGAGCTGTACACAGGGGAACAGATTCGAAACCATAAGTGGGAAGACCCCCTGCAGATTCGCCTTGGCTGTGGAAATTTGCCTTTGTGCTGTCCTGCCCACTCCCTCAAAGAGTTTCTACTGCAGGATGTTGCTCCTGCAAAGAATTTCCATTATTTTAAACATTTACCCTCTAAACACGTTTGCCATCAGACAGACTTTCCGAAATACATGATGTGTGTTTCCCACACAATTTTATAATCACAAGCAAACAGCAGGTCCTCAGTCTTTGAATCTGGAGAGGGAGAGAACCAACCGAGATGAGAGGAGGCCCCAGCTCTGATGGAGAAAACTGTAGACACATTATGGCAGTGGCCTGGTCTTAATCTTTGGAGTGATAAGAGCTCATGATGCAAAGATACAGATTCATCCAAGTTGTTACAGGTGTCCTGTGCCTCGTTGGAGAAATGTCTTGCCTGAATTGTCCAGTATATGCTGTGAAAGGGAAGCTCACTGACCATCTTCCACTTCAAATTGCACTTTTCCCTGGCTGTTCTCCTGTTCTCCAGTTAAGCGGTTTTTGCTGCTTGCTTTTCTTTTTCTTTTTTTCCAATTTAGTTTTCTTGCCTGCATTTTGATTATTTAATTTTGTTTCTGGGGCACATGAATAGTCTGTCACTGTATGTTCAGTGTGCAGACTAACACTGAGTAAGCACTTGCTGATGTTAATGAAGCCTAGTGGGTTCTGGAGCAGTTACAACATCTCATGTCTGCCAGCCCCATGAAATTCATTCATTCAGCAGGGATCTCTAAAATGGCATGCCAGGCCAGATTCTCAGCACTGGGGTACTGGGAGCGGATATGCCGACAAATTATCTTAAGAAGGGAGAAATGGATAATAAATAACATAAACAGTATATGAGGCAGCAATAGCATTGTGGAAAAACTAAATTGGAGAATTGGACTAAGTGCATGGCAAGGTTGGTAGTGCTCTTGGTGGTGATGGAGCCTCGCTGATAAAATAACATGTGAACAGAGATTTGAAGGAGATGAGGAGAGTGAACCATGCTGGGAGACAGCCTGAGATAAGATCAGGGAGGTTTGGGGTGAGGAGTGGGGTTTACAGGGTACAGATCTATAATCGCTTATGGGTCAAGAAATTTGGGTTTTATCTTGGCATAGGAAGCTATGAGAACATTTGCAGCCCAAGCATAAAATGATCTGATTGCATCAAGGCTCACTCTGGTGGCCACTTTGATAGTTTATGGCAGGGAAGCAAGAGCAGAAACAGAAACCCGGTAGGAGGCAAGAGATGGTGGTGGTGTGGACCAGAGAGTGGCAGTGGCCGTGGAGGAGCAGTGGTCAGGTTCTGGACATATTTGGAAGGTTGATATAAACATGAATAATATATAACTCACCTTAGCACACAGGAGTGTTTTTAGGGTCAAGGGGCTACCTAGCCAAGCAGTAAAGCAGGAGAGCATAGGTGTAATATAGGTGTAATATCTAAGGGGAGAAAACAGGAATAAACGGGGCATAACTCACCTCCTTGTTGCAGTTTTCAGGTTTTTAAGAGAAAGAACCATGCCTTATGATTTCTATGCATGCTCTTGGCACTCGGCACACAGTGCTTAGGTTAGGTACAGAGTAGGTATTTGGTGAGTGCATCATTCATTTATGCTTCTGGAGGGGATTGCCTTTGCTCTGTTTATATTGTGAAATTGAAGTGCTTTTTTGATTTTGTCTTATGCTGAACGTGTACTGTTAAATGGTTTCTTCTTTTTAGGTGAGAAGCCGTTTACTTGTGAAATCTGTGGCAAATCTTTCACAGCAAAGAGTTCTCTTCAGACCCACATCAGAATCCATCGGTAAAGTTTTGCAGATATTTTTCGCACATGGAGGCCTCATTCATTTCTGATGTTCAGTGAGGTGACGTGTGTTACCTCCCTGTAACAGTTTTCTCCCAACTGTTACTCTGGCAGAATTTTCTGTGCAGTTTATTACTTCGGCTTTTTTGTTTGTTTGTTTTGAGACAGGGTCTCGCCCTCACCCAGGGTAGAGGGCAGTGGCGTGAGTGGAGTGCAGGTGGGGGAGTTCAAGTGATTCTCCCACCTTGGCCTCCCAAGAAGCTGAGACCCACACCCAGCTCATTTTTGTATTTTTGGGTAGAGACAGGGTTTCACCAGGTTGGCCAGGATAGTCTCGATCTCTTGACCTTGTCATGATCTCTTGACTGCCTGCCTTGGGTAGCCTGGATCTCTTGACCACCTGCCTCAGCCTCCCAAAGTGCTGGGATTACAGGCGTAAGCCACTGCGCCCAGCCTTTCTTTTCTTATCTGAAATACATACTGTGGAATCATAACATTTTATCACATCTGCCACCCTTCCTCCGGCACCACCCCCACCCTATTTTCAGATTAGAAACTGCCCATGAAAGTGAGACTTGCTTCAAGTCCTTAAGTTAGTAGGAGAACCCTTTACTTACGACTTGCAGCCAGTTATTTTCCACTACTCTTGATTGCTTCTCCCTAAATAATCAGGAAGTAGTAAGTAGGTATTTCCATTTTAAAAATAAAATGTTTATTTCTTGTAGAGGAGAAAAGCCATACTCATGTGGCATCTGTGGCAAATCCTTCTCTGACTCCAGTGCCAAGAGGAGACACTGCATTCTACACACTGGCAAGAAGCCTTTCTCCTGCCCTGAGTGTAACTTACAGTTTGCTCGCCTAGACAATTTGAAGGCTCACTTGAAAATTCATAGCAAGGAGAAGCATGTGTCAGATGCCAGCAGCATTTCTGGCGTTAATAATACAGAAGAGGTCAGGAATATTCTTCAGCTACAGCCATATCAACTCTCTACCTCGGGAGAGCAGGAAATTCAGCTTCTTGTAACTGATTCTGTACATAACATCAATTTCATGCCCGGTCCTAGCCAGGGAATCAGCATTGTGACTGCAGAGAGTTCCCAGAACATGACTGCAGACCAGGCTGCTAATCTCACCCTGCTCACGCAGCAACCAGAGCAACTGCAGAATTTAATTCTTTCAGCTCAACAGGAGCAAACAGAACACATTCAGAGCCTCAATATGATTGAAAGCCAGATGGGGCCCTCACAGACAGAGCCAGTGCACGTGATCACTCTGTCCAAAGAAACTCTGGAACATCTTCACGCCCATCAAGAACAAACAGAGGAGCTCCATTTAGCTACAAATACTTCCGCTCCAGCTCAGCACCTGCAGCTGACACAGGAGCCTGATGCGCCGCCACCCACTCACCACGTGCCACAGTCAACGCCGCTTGGCCAGGAGCAGAGCTGACCTGTAAACATGTTTGACTGCTTGATTAGGCTCTTCTCATAAGCCAGCTCTGACCGGATTTTGAATGCTTAGGGCTCTCCATACCATTGACTTGCAGTTCCTTTGATGACGACTGATGTTTGCAATGCTCACCATCCAGGTAGCAAGATCTGTGTGTGTGTATGTCTTGTCTAAGGTACAGATTTGGATTTAGCATTTCAATATTGTTGATTGGTTTTCATTTTCATCTGCAACATCTCGTAAAGACTCGGGTAGTTTTTCTCTGGGGGCATTGATTTCAAGTTTTCTATAAGGTTTAAATGTTCACAGCCATAGGTTATGGTCTTACCAGTCTCCCCAGTTTTTTGTTTTGTTTTTTAATTTTCTAAGACAAAGGAAGTCATATCTTGGTTGAACTGGGCAGAATGATTGGTTCCATTTTCTTATTTTTCTTAGGCAACACAGTTGTTACCAATACAAGTCAGGGCTAAATATGATAGATCACAATGTTTGAGAAATTTGTCCTTTTAATTACTTCCAGTCCCCGAAGACAAAGTGAGTCTCAAAGTTTTATCTTTGTGCAGTACGGTGGGCTCATCCTGTCATGCTTCAGGAAGAGTCAGACTCATAAACTCAGTATTTTAATTCAAAATTCATGTAACAAGATAGCCAAAAGTATACGATTTAAAAAAAAAATTCTGAATTCATCTTTTCCAAGAAACATAAATTTACATATTTTTTTAAATCACGCTATCAAAATTTTAATTAAGTCTGAAATACAAAATTGGATCAAGACATTCACCCAAAATTCTGAATTTTTGTCAGAAATGAAATTTGATTTTCATGAAGGTAAAGCTTTCTTAACTATCCTGGAACATAAAACTTTATTCAGTGTAATTTCAGTCTTATATAAACTCAACTGAATTCTAACTTGAAATTAGATCTCCTGAAAATGTTGATCTGTGTGTTGTATCTTATAATGTTCTGGAGATAGAAGCTTATAATTCATTTTTATGCCAGAGTAGGTTAAATCCCACAAAGTAAATATCTTCTAATCTTTTCTTTTTTAGAGATAGCGTCTCACTCTATCACCCAGGCTAGAGTGCAGTGGCACAATCATTGCTCACTGTAACCTTGAATTCCTGGACTCAAGCAATCCTCCCACCTCAGCCTCTCCTAGTAGCTGGGACTGCAGGGATGTACCACCACACCCAGCTAATCATCTTCTAATCTTAAAAATAACTTTGAGCCTCAGAGACTTAGTAGCCAGCATGTATCTGTAATTATATGATTTTTAAATCATCATCAAAAAATTAAATTATGTTTGGGTTAGATTTTCAAGCTAAGCATATTTTATTGAATTCTTTTACCACTGTCATGTAAGCTGGTAGGGAATTTTTGAGAAAAGGTGATGGGCACTAGTATGTCTAAATTAACAATGCTGATAGAGAGTAGGGGTAATCTATAAAATTACTGGAGTCTTTCTATATTAATTGTTTTGTTTTTGACATCTTTGATTTCTACCTAAATCAAATAAGTTCTTTGGAGGTTATAGTAGTAGAGAATTCTTCAGGTTTGAGAGAGGATAAAAACATTTTGGTTGCATATTTCCTAAGCTACATTTTATTATATGTAAATCATAAAATTTCCAAAATGGTATATATCTTAACCAAAGTAATGTTAAATCAGGCCTGATTAGAGCAAAGGTAACAATTTTTTACAAACGCTGTTAAACCCTAAATATTATTTCAGACTCTCGTTTAAACTGTTTCATTTCATTCTTAAAACACAAAGTTTTTTACCAGACTTTCAAAGCCTTCCTACCAATCCACATTTTCTCCAGGAAATTAAATATTGAAGTAAATGAATATTTACTCACTCTGGATAGCTAGGTGATTATTCAGAAAATATGCTTACATAGCTATTTATAAGTCAACTTTCACTGGCTTTATAGCAGTCTACCTCTACACTAAGGGAACTATGACATGAGCAACATAGGTCACTTTAAATTTTCTAGTAGCCACATTTAAAAACATAAAAAGAAGCAGGTGAAAATACTAATAAAGCTTTATTTAATGCAACATTTGCAAATTTTTCAACATGTAAAAATATATTGGACATTTTACATTCTCTTCTTCATACTAAGCTTTCAAAATCTGGTATGTATTTTACACTTTCTACACATCTCACTTTGGATGCTAATGTTCATTGGACATACTTGGTCTGTATTTAGATTTCATACAATTTACAGTTGAAAACATTTTCATATCAAGTAGTTACAGACAAAAGTTTTTTTCAAGAATTGAAATATCGGTTTACAAATGTATATTAAAATTAATTAAAATTAAAATCCAGTTCCTTGGGACACTGTGCAAATGCTCGATAGGCACCTGTGGCTGATGGCTGCTGGGCTGGACGGCATGGGCCACCTGTTTCTAGCTCGAGCATCGGTCCCACCTATGCCTGAATTATTTGACCAGCTGTCAAAGAGAAACAAGAAAATGGTAGCTTTGTCAATCTAGCCTCTTTCTTTGTCCCAAATATACATTCTGCCCCTTGAATAAAAAAGTTCTGTGATTTGGGTACCCAAAAGAAATGTCACGAAAGTGCTTCTTATGTGTCCTTGAAAAATTACATTGCCAGCGCAGTGTTTCACAGTTCATTTTGCACTAAATGTGTACGATTTTTTAAATTGTTTTAACCAGAAATACAAAGTGTGTTTTTTAGGAAATAGAATGTTATGCTTTGGGGCTCCTGAAACACCTCATTTTGAAGGTGAATCTTTGGTTTTCTCCCAGTAGAGGGCCAGCCTTGGAATGATGAGCTCTTACTGTCAAAATCAGTTATTCAAGTGCTTGCCCAGTGCTGCTTGAAACTCACCTCTACTCTGTATTTTCTACAGTTGGTTCTTGTGTTATAAATGTTGTGAGCCAACAGATTAAATGATGCTGAGAAATGAAAAGAGATTCTCATTATAATTGCTTACCTAGGATTCTCATTATAGATGCTTATCTAGGTTTTCATAAATGGGAACATAATGTCTTCCACATGTAGAATCCTCATTATTGGCCAGGAGCCAAGCCAGGTGTGTTACACCTGTCTCATATCTTACTGGGTCTCACACAACTTCCATGTCGGCACACAGATTTACACAGCACCCTCTGGTTGGAGGATTCCAGTCACCTCTGGTCATGATTGGTATATTAGTTTGCCAGGACTACCATAACAAATACCAACAGACTGGGTGACTGAAAAAATAGTAAGTCCATGATCAAGGTGTCGTGGGGCTGATTTCTTCTGAGGCCTGCCTTCTAGTCATCTTTCCCTGCCTGTATCTTCACATCTTCTTCCCTCTGTCCTAATTTCTTTTAAGAACACCAGTCATATGGGATCTGCTCACACTAATGACCTCATTTAATCAACTCTTCAAACACAATCTCATTCTGAGGTACTGGGTACTAGGACATCAACATGTGAATTTGGAGTAGGGGATATAATTTACCTCCTAACACCTGGCATCTGGAGTCAGGACGGGAGCAGTGTCTGGGACGCACCTTAACCCAATGGAAGCATTTCTCAATCTGCATGACATTCTGATGAGGTAAGTAACTATTATGCCTGTTGTACAGATGAGAACATGGAGCCCAAAGAGAAAGTCTGTTGCCAAATGTCATACATTAAGTGGTAGAACCAGAACTAGGATACAGACTTTCAAAACTTTAAGCTGGATTTCTTATTACCAAGGTTAATAGAACCAAAAGAAAATGATAATTTTCTTATTAAGTAATTTACTTCCTACTTATTAAATAATTTATTTCTTATTAAAAATTATTTAGGCCGGGCACGGTGGCTCACGCCTGTAATCCCAGCACTTTGGGAGGCCAAGGTGGGTGGATCACAAGGTCAAGAGATTGAGACCATCCTGGCCAACATGGTGAAACCCCGTCTCTACTAAAAAAATACAAAAATTAGCTGGGCATAGTGGCACAAGCCTGTAGTCCCAGCTACTCGGGAGGCTGAGACAGGAGAATTGCTTGAACCAGGGAGGTGGAGGTTGCAGTGAGCCGAGATTGTGACACTGCACTCCAACCTGGTGACAAAGCAAGACTCTGTCTCAAAAAAAATATTATTTATTAATAATTTCTTATTTCCTGTGTCCCACTTAATGTAATAGAACCTTTTTGACTAAAATTGAGTGTCTGTGTCTGAAATTATAGCATACTTTTTTTTTTTTTTTTAAGTGGAGACAGTCTTACTGTGTTGCCCAGGCTGGTCTCAAACTTCTGTCCTCAAGCAGTCCTCCCACCTCAACCTCCCAAAGTGCTGAGATTACAAGCATGTGCCACCAGCATATGGTTATAAGCTTTTTACATAAAACAATAATAGTGAAAGTTATGATCTACAGAAATTCAGTAACTACCATATAATCATATTAGTGTTTCATTACTATTGATTTAAAGCTTCATCAAAATTTGCCAGTAGAATGAAAGTTATTAGTAAGGTGAAAATGTCTTATTTAACAGGAGCCTCTGTAAGCCCTTTTTTCAAATTTTTGAGGATATTTTAAATTAAGGGTAGGTTTGTTTTGTTACCCTGATAAGTGTTGAGGTAAAATTTCATCTTCAATTTCTAAACAGAAGCCTAAATTCTTAAGAATTGAAAGAAAACCCTTTGTCTTGCTTTTTTAAATAGCAGATAAAGAGATATGATCTGTAAAAAAATCTTGCCTTCATTTTGTAAATAGCAGCTCTCAAGGAGTGATGTCTAAAAGAAGCCGGAATGTCATGATAGTTTGTCCTGCTCTCAAATTCTTGACAAATAAACAGCAAAAGACTTTAGTTGGCTTAGTTGACTGGAGTGAGAGAGAGAGAGAGAGAGAGAGAGTGTGTGTGTGTGTGTGTGTGTGTGTGTGTGTGTTTCATTCTAACTTGAAACATAGGACATTAACAGCTTTAAAGCTCATTCAAATACTTTTTTCTTTTTTTTTTTTTTTTGGACGTAGGGTCTTGCTCTGTCACAGGATCAAGTGCGGTGGTAAGATCATGGCTCACTGCAGCCTCTTAGCCTTCTGAGTACCTGGGACCACAGGCATTCACCACCATGCTCAGATAAATTTTAAATTATTTTTAGAGATGGGATCTCACTACATTGCCCAGACTGGTCTCAAACTCCTGAGCTCAAGTGATCCTCCTACCTCAGCCCTCAGAGTGCTGGGAGTAGGATATAAGCCCTTGTACTCAGCCCACATTCTCGGTAATACAAAACATAGGAATTTAAACACGTTTTGATAACAGCAAGGGATCTTAGCTTTTTTTATGTGAGTCTGAAAAGTACTATATTCAGTATGAAGTGTGAAAAAAGGAAAAAATGTGGGCAGGGTCAGGGTAGAGAACTTTTATTCTGAATTCCTAATACCCATAATATGTCACTTTAAATATGAATTTGAAGATGATTTTCCAAAAGAATATGATTTTAGTTAATTATTTAACTGATCCTGAACATATTTGTGTGTTTAATCTTTGAAGCCTCTTAGGATAGAGTCCCTGTGTTATCTTCGAGTCTTGGAAATCATAATTGTGCTTTGACTTCTGGGGAGGGTATTGAGTAAAAAGCAGCATACAAAGGAATAAGGTGGGAAGGAAGAATAAGAACGAGGACCCCAGATTTGTGATTTACCCACTCCAAGCCGAGAGAGAAAGCTGGGCATCATTCTTGATGGGGCCCACCTCACCCCCACACCCAATTCATGGCCATGTTATGTCAGTTTCACGTTGAAGTATCTTGAATCCATCCACTTCTTCCATCCTCACTGTACACCGTCACTTGCCTGGACTCCTGCCAAAGACCTGATTAATCCTTTCTTCCACCTCCTGCTGGGCTTGCTCCACTGGAAGTGGTGATCTGTTTGGGCTCACCATTGTACCCTTAGCTTAGCATCAAACAGAGTGCCTTGCTAAATGAATAGATTTGCATTAGTTATTAAGATAAATATCACTGTGTCTCTGCTCTGCCTGAAATCCTTCTACAGTTTCCCATGGCATTTAGAATAAAATCTCCAATTCAGCTCCCTCTTGGGACCCTCTTCCCCATTGTGGTTTCCAGGCGCATGGGTTCCTTGCTGTTTCCCAAACACCCAGCTCTTTCCTGCCTGAGGGCTTTGTGGCAGGTGGTTTCTCAGCTTTGAAAGTTGTCTGCTCCCACTCTGAGTCATGACTACTATCTGTCAGAATTCAGGAATACCCTCTCCTGTCCTTTAACCTCAATCAAACAACCCTGTCACGTGCTCTCATGTGACTCTCTACACTTTTGGCTCAGACGCCACTGGTTTTACATCAGGGGCTGTCTCTGGCTATACTGCAGCCACAGCTTCCTGGCCCGGGACCATGGGTTTATTGCTTGAAGATACTGGACTGCAGATGCAAAGCCATATTATAGGGTGGCTTAAATATGTCACCTGCAGTACTAGGGACCCAGTTTCTGGCCCCAGG